CCCGCTGGCAGCGGGGGCCTGCCCTGTGGAAGGCCGGGCGTGTTGGCGTCGGTGGAAGAAACATCCAGCTGTGTCGGGAGCCCAGCTGCACCTTCTGCCTTGTTGCGTGATACCGCTTGCTGAAAATACTGCCCAAAGAATATCTTTCAGAAGCGTTCATCTTAGGGGAGCGATGAAACATTGCTTGAGCAGCTAGTCAGGGGTCACAGTGTCGCCTGAGGATGTATCTCGGACCCACCACGGGGCTCGTAGGAGTCTCCTAAAATAAAGATGAAAGTATCCACAGTTAACAGCAAATAGGGGATAGGAGAAACATGCAAATAAACCGTTAATGTGATAACGCAACCTCTAAAAATAACCGTTCAACGAGCACAAACCTTTTCTTTTCGATCTTGACAACAGCTTGGATCTACCTTGAGGTGAAAGCTGTCAGGGGCAGGCTGCTTGATTTCAGGCTTGGCTGCTGAGACCGTAGCAATATGTTGCTGTTGCATTAAGGGAACATGGTAATTTGTTGTGTCTCTGTGCAAATGAAGAAAATAGCAGCATATTTCTGAGCAAATAGTGAAAATACAGAGTACAACCTTCCAGTGAGTTAAACCAGTGAAGTTAGTAGGATAAGAGCAATGTCTGCCAACAAAATTCCATTGTACTTCCCCTGCAGCTGGGGAACCCTGAAGTGTCCTTTAGTAAGGGCTACTCAGTGGAAAAAAAAAAGCAAAACAAACCAACAAAACTTCAGTAACAGCAGCAATTCCAGTTGTCTCTGAGTTTCAGATACAACCACTGTGTTCTAATATCATTAGCAGCTTCAGCAAGTGCTTCTGGTTTGGTGTTTGGTAGCTATAAACCTTTGGAGGCATGCATGCTGCAAGTCCATCTGGCAATATCATAGGATTGTAGAGAAGACGAGGCTTTTAGTGAACTCTGTGAAGCTTTCTGATGTGCGCAGCATGTGCAAGGAAGCACAGTCAGCTTAATGTTGTGTGCCGTTTGTTCAGTTCATTATTTGCTCTTGACATTGGATCGTACAGTTGTAGAATAATTTAGCTTGGAAGAGGCCTCTGGAGGTCATCTAGTTCAATTCCCTGCTTAAAGCAGTGCTATCATCAAAGTTAGGGCAGGTTACTCCAGGCCTTGTCTGGTTGAGCTTTCTCTTGAAGGCTTTAAAATGGAGTTGAAAGTTGGATCTGAAATTTAGCCAAGTTTGGAGCTAAGTGCCCCAAACTTTGGAAAGTTACAGATTTTTAAGCAGTCTGAATGAAGCATACTCTTACTTGGTTAATTGGAAGTTGCGTTTCCTTTCTGGTTTTGGTGTCATGATTCTGGTTCTCCAATTGTGCAACAGTCTTTAATGTGCACAATATAGATATTTTTGGAAGATAAAAAGCAAACAGAAAAGTATATTGCCCCCCAAAGCAAGGAGATTTACTCTTAGTAGATACAAAACCAAAATATTTAAGTAACACTTCTCTATACGTTAACAAAACCAAAAAGGCTGATAAACCACTTTAGATTTTAAAGGTTGTTAGTATTTTATTGGTATTCACCAAGTAAGTAAATGTTGATGGGAGTGAAGATAGCTGATGTAAGCCTTTATTTATCTTAATCCTTTCTTTTGGTGTCACAGTGTTTCTTAGCCTGTGAAGTCAGTCTTCGAAGAAATCTCAGTGCTCAGTGTCTACAGGTCCCAGGTAAAACATACTTTATAGAAGAGTGAAAACTTCCTGGGGAAGGCAGGAAAGATGAAGAGTGAAGGAGAAAAAGATAATAAGATAAATGAAAATAGCTGTGCTGTTGTACCTTCATGATGTGTCTTCTAAATGTCATCTGTGTTTTTCTTAAGTACTCAAGTTAAAAATATACTTTCATCTTTCGAGGGGAAAAATTATAGAAACTAAATGTTGATACTAATTGTGGGATTGAGCTTTTCACCTGCTAATGCAAATAATTAATTTCAGCCAACACTGATGGCCCTGCTGAAGCTGTAGATAAAAGCACAACCTCAGCAGATGCAGTTCTCGGTGTCCTAAGGACTCTGGAGAAGGTAAGGCTAGAGGGTAAAATAAGATGAAAGAATGTGCAGCAGCTCAGCTCTTACTTTTGTGTGGAGAGTGTAGTCACAGCACCCCTTACAACACTTGGAAAAATTTCCACCATCCTATTTCAGCTTTTTTCCTCCAGGCAGTAGCTAGTCCGCCTACACTGGGGAATGTCAAACTGCATTAGGATGTCATTTGATTCAGTATAAATAGCATTGCTTCAACAACGGGATTGCATGCGTCTCTCTCTAAATATGCCGTGTTATACTCACAGCATGTTAAGTATCCTGTTGCCATTTGAAGTTAAATTTCCGATCCATTTTCTTATATGTAGTCTTTTAAGTGTGTCATTAAGATTATGTATGCAAAGGTCATGTTATTATAGTCCTCAGAGCCACCTTTTCTGTCGAAGTCATAATACACATCAAAAGTATATATGTGTTATTCTGTTGACTGTAACCTCAAGATGAATCTCCCACTTTAAAAAAGAAAAAAAAAAAAGGCAGGTGTTAGGGGATTTAAAAAAAAAAATTTGCCTTTCTTATTATAGTTACATGGGATGAATGAAGAAGCTTCAGAGGCAGCTTCTCTCTTTGTTCCCCACAGAAAAAATGAACTTTTATTCATGTTTTGTGTTAGCTGGAGCAATCCCTGTGTTTACCTTGTGATCCTGTATTGATCCCACTGTGACATCTGTAGAATCTCTGCACCTGTTCCTGATTTCTAGTCAGAGGGGCTGCAAGTTGCTATAGCTTCTGCCAATTAAGATTTTGTCCAGCCCCTGCTTTTTTACACACCCTGCAGTGTGGCTGCCCTTTGGCTACAGGAAGGAATAACGGGTATTCTGATAGAGCATCTCTCTAAAGCGTCCGGGCTTCCCATATGCCTCACAGATTCAAGTCCTCATAACTTTTGAGTTCATCTCTACGTTCACGTTTTACGTTTTTAGACATGCTTTTCTGCGAAGCTCTTTATGAAACACACAATAGTGATTTTTTTGTGCATCTGTTCCTGAGTTACTTCAGTCACGTTTTATGGCAGCTCTTCATGGGATTCTACCGTATACTTTGCATTTCTTTCCAGCTTTTGAGAGATTGATAAGTAGGGTCCTTTAAGTTTCAGATTTCTGAACTAGGTTGGTATTATTTAGTACTCCACATGTTTAATTCTACTCTTTGATTTCAGAATCTGTCAGGACCCACAGCAAAACGACTCCACAAAAAGAGGCACCTTCAGAACAAAGATGAACTTTGGGAAAGCTTACAGTACCTTTAACATCAGCAATGGAACAGATCTAGTTATTGGCTTTACCTCTTCCACAGTAGCCGTCCTTCTATTTGGGACAAACTTTGTGCCTGTTAAGAAATTTGATACTGGTGACGGTAAACTTATTTATATTCTTTTGTTGTTTTTTGGTATTTTTGCTAATAGGAATAATATTTTACCAGCAAATATGAGCATTTCTATAGCTAGAATTATGAATATCATCACAACTTTGATCCGTAGAGCATGTTTTAATTTTCTTTACTGTTGTTAGGGTATAAAGCAATAATGTATTGGTTCAGGATGTGGTGAATCTTTAGAAGAGCCATTTCATGTGGTGGTGTGCACTTTAACAGTGATGATGTGCATTTCATGAGCATTTCAGAATGGAAAGTGAAATGTCCTTTCTTCTACCCTGGTGGGGATTTTCAAATATGAACACTGTTATTTATACTGTAAAAGTTGTTGGACTTTGGAGTATTGCCTTTCAGTTGTGGACCTAACATAAAAACAATCGAAAATTGAAATTCTAATACTTTTATCTGGTGACTCGGTAAGAGGAAGCAATTTCTTCTATTTCCTACTTGGAATTTTATCCCTTTACAGTACTAAGTTCATGTTGTATTTGCACGTTTATATGAAACATAGTCAGTTACCAGATCCCTAGATGAATAAATCTGCCATTATGTTACTGCAATAATAGTTTCTGCATTACAGGCTGGATATAACCTCTCTCTCTTCTTTCTGCCAAATATGGTCCTAACAAGATAAGGCTAGGCTTTAAAGTGAAAGTCTTAGCTCAGCTGGCATTAACTGGTTTGCCTAGTTGACTCTTAGAGAATCTACAAAGGTAGAAGAAATCTGTCCAAAGTTTTTATCATCCTCAGTGTCCTGGATTAGTGGAAAAGCCTGAGCCCTGAGCTTTGAAGGAGTTTTGTCCTGTGCAGTCAACTGTGTTAGCTGCTGCTAGGATGGTGGGAGAAGTTTGCAGTAACTGAATATCCTCTTTGTCAGAAGCCTGTCAAAATTTTCACATGTTTGAGAATCAGTGCTTGTGTAAACTTTGTCCAGCAAAGTGTCTTTTGCAGCTGCCTATAAAGAATACATGGTAAGGAAAAGGTTGGCAGAATTCTAACACCCCACCCCAAAATACATCTTTTGAATATATTGCAACATGGTTCCCTGAAATTCACAAAGGAGGTGGCCACCTTTCAATTTTTTCTGTACTATTTTATCTAAAACATAGTATGTTAAGAGATTCATACATGCAGTATTCTACAAGTTCTCTGTTGTGTACATTTGATTTTTCCATAGGCATGTTTTTTCAGTGGATTCTCTGTGCCTCCATATGGATAGTTTCTTTAGTGGTCAATTTAATCCAGAATTGCCCCCGGTTTTGGCCTCTGGCTATGGTTGGAGGTTTTGTGTGGGCTACAGGTAAGGATAAAGAGATTTTGTTTCTTGAAACACAAAGTAATCCTAACTGTTCAGAAAAAGAGAGTGATAAAAACTTTTCCATATGTAAGGTAGTAGTTATTTGGTAGTTATTTGGCTTTTTAAAGTCTTGGTATTAATGGAGCTGTACCCTTATAGTAAATACTATTTTATTATGCATATTTTATAAGCAGCAAATTCACACCAAAAATAACTTTTAAAATGGTGTTGAGAAGTCCGTGTTTTATGTATGTATTTTTAAAAAACACTATTTCCTACCATCTTGTAGTTGACTAAATTTCTTTGCCTTCTGAACAGTCACAAGAACATAAAGCAAAAATATACAAGAGCACAGTCTAGTTTTTAATGTATTTTAATTTTGTTTTTTTGTATTTCAGGCAATGTTACAGTTGTCCCTATTGTTAAAACTATTGGCTTAGCTCTTGGTCTTTTGATATGGGCTTCTTTTAATTTGCTGACGGGTTGGGCAAGTTCAAGGTGAGTATGTTTAAGTCTTAATTCATGCATAATTTATGTTGCCAATTCCTCATTAGTAACTGCAGTGAAAACACTATCTCCAATAAAGCGGATTTATCATATAAGATTTTTTTCCCTCTCAGTGGAAATTACCCAGGTTAATTATTTTATCTTTTTGTTTCCTCTGTCTCAGTAGGAAGAAGAATGCCCAGTGATGTTCATTAACATAATTGAGTGAATAAACAATGTATTTGTTAATGTAAATCTAGAGCACTGTTTGTATTTTTTTCCTTCTACAGCATGGGCTGATAAAATAATTTAACTTCAATTTTTAAATATCCAGATTAAAAAAAATCAATGTAAACTAAAGATTATTTTTGTAAATTAGGCGTAGCTTTTTGCAAGCCAACTGAAGCACTGATCCAATATTGCAAATGTAAACTTAAACAGAATGATTTACATAAGTAAAGATTTCCAAGACTGGGTTATAATTTAGCTATTTGTATGCAGTCAGTGCAACTAAGTGAAACTGGTTAAATGTTCCAGGTTTGGTTGGTTTGGAATTGACCCAGAAGAGGTATCAAGACCAATCTTAAATTATATTGGAGCTGGACTTTCATTATTAAGGTAAAAATTTATTCTTATAATAAATCTCTGTAATGTGAAATATATATTTAATAACCACAGGGACAATTTAACTAGAGGGAAAATGTATTGAAGTATTTTTTGCAAATTGATTTACTGAAGAATTCATGAGCTACCTATACCTAGCTGGTCAGTGTTGTATTTCAGAAACACATTTGATATCCAGTACAGTAGTGAAATGGTTATTCATAAACACAGAAATGTATTTTTATGCTAGCAGGCATGTTCAAAGCAAAGCAGTGATGAACTGTTTGCCTCCCTAGCTAGGTTACTCAAATGGTTCACTTTCCCCAGATTTAGAGAGAGAGAGGAGAAACTGACTAGAAGAATCTTGATGAGAAAAGCTCTGTGAGATTTCTGATCTGACTTCACTCAGTCAGGGGTACAAATCCTTACTCGTAGCTGTGGAATATGCCACAGGACCCCTTCTCAGATCCTTGAGGATCTGAGAGGCTTTGCATTATCTCTTGTACTTAATAGCTCCCTGTCCTGTAACTCTTAAGCCACACTTTGCAAGAACTCCCAAACAGTGGCTTCCTTTTGGAGCTTCAGAAGGACTTCTACTCTTTTTTTTTCTTTTTTTTTTTTTTGTATTAGTGCACATTTTCGTCTGAACACAGAGGAGAGAGGGTCTTTGTTATGTGGCAGTGTTCTTGCTTTCCAGCTGGGTGGCCGGGAGGGTCTTTCTAGGAACGTAACGGTAACCCCTAAACCCAGGGGCAGTAGGCTTGCCGTAAGTGTGCTAAGCAGCAGATGCCCATAATGCCTTTAGGAAAAAAGGGTGTTAAGAACATGGAGACGATGGGGCCATTCTTGATTGCTAGGAGAGAGCTGCTGCCTTCATTCATTAATTCTGCTTCGACTCTTCCTCTTTCCTAAGAGTGCGCAGCTTTTTACCCATTACTGTTACATGTAGCACGTGATTTTATGAGGTATTCACAAAATAGTAGCAGTACTGCTATTCCTGCCTGATGAATTCATTTAGCTCACCACCTGCTTCCTGCCTGTTTCTGAGATAATATGGAGAAGTGATCAACTGCGAAAAAAGATGGTGACCAAACATGTTTTCCTGGCAAGCTGCACAAAGCCTCTGTATGTTGCTCTGCAGAGCTCAGAAGCATGTATTTCATTTTAGCCTCACCTGTGGAACCTGTATGTATTTGTCTAGTCCCTCTGGAGGAAGCTGACATCCTTTTGTAACTCTCCTTATTCCTTCAGTAGGAGACAAATCATTCTTCAAATGGAGACATTTTGTTTACAGTTATGAGAAGGAACTCCTAAATCATTAAAATATCTTTCATAAAAGTAAAAAACAGATCCTGCCAGTTCTGATTACATGTATGTACCAGGTTTCCTGGAGCTGGGGCTACAAGTAGTCGTGTTAGCCTTTCTTCTTCATTTTATTCACTTAGTGCGCGGGAGCAGCCCTGAGCAATACCCCCTTCTCCTTCCATGTACGCAAGGCCCTGTGGGAGCAATATCCCTCACTCACATATGATAGAAGACTAAAAACTAACTTTTTTCCTTGAGGACAGAGCCAATTCTGTGCAGGTTTAAGCTGTTCCATATAGAATTTTCATGCAGATGTTCCATTGTATGTGTGGTTTAGTACATAAGGGCACTGTTAACTAAAGCAACTTGTTAACATGTGGTTGTAACTACACACTGTAAAAAGGAGACATGTCAATCCCATTACATAGAAGAGAGTTATATAACGTGATACAAAGACTATTTATTTACTTACTTTCACTTAAGCTGTTTAAGATTGTTAAAAGCAATTGCATTTTTAGAGTGTATTGAAGTGACTCTAGGGCAGTAATGAAAATAAAATAATGTGCCTCCAAATGTAACTTCTGTCTCTGGACACTAAATGTTATGTCCTTACAAGCTGACATGGTATTTATTGGTGTATTTTTCTCTTCTGAGTGCTGTCATATTTCTTTTTATAAAAACTGAAGTCCAGAGTTCTTCAGCTTCATTAGAAAGCACGCCTTTACTGAGAGAAAGTGTAAGTACTCTGCAGTTGTTATTTTACAGTAGTGAAAGTACATATCCATTTAAAAACAAAAAATTTGCTTAATGTTAACCAGATCTACTAGAATTTATGGTAGACTACACAAATAAGCATTGATTATATTTAATTTGTGGATCTTGTATATCCAGTTGAATGTAAGCAACAGAAAAGGTTTTCCCAAGTGTTCTTTCTCTATTGTCAGTTTTAAATGGCTTCTAAGTCCTTTTTCATTGTGACAGAGACTATATAAAAGACAGAGTGTATTCTCTATCTGAGAAGAGGAAGCAACTTTAATTAAAACTTAACTAGAAAACTAGGGGGGTGCTTAGATGAAAGGCAATGGCATATGACTCTTACCCACCAGATTTTTGCCATGTTTCAGAGCCAGGAGACTGTCAGGAGTCACTGATTCTCAGCATCAGGTTGGAGGCCAACGAGGGGTGCCAGATTGGCTGTTACTTCTCATTGGTACCCCAAAGTATGCAACAAAAGCTGGAGAGCAATAGGGTCCTACTAGCATTGTACCTTTCACTTGTAGGTCAGTGCTCTGTTGCTACCTGAACAGAGAGCTCCTCAGGAGTTTTCTAGCTGTGCCTAATGCTCACTAGAGGTTCCAGTCTACCAGAACAAATCACAGAAGACAATCTAATTGCAGGATTTGAATAAAGGGATGTCGTGATTTCTTTGTGCTGCAGACAGGGCTGTTAATTTCCCTGTTTGCAAATAGTCCTAATATTCTGATAGTAACACGGAGCTATCAACAAAAGGCAAAAACACATCATAAATAAAATCTGTAGATTAAATCATTCATCAAATTCAAGGAAGGACAATTTCTGAAAGTCAGATCTACCTGCTTGCAGATTTAAAAAAATGCTAGTGAGTGCTCTGTTATGTAGGAAACCCTGAGTCCATATCCACTTGTACTTATAAAGTTCAAGGTAGGTAGATCCAGTTATTAGTTTGTTTTATTAAAAAAAAAAATCTACTTTCTTCAGAATATTACTGTAAATTCCTTTTGTTTCTCTTTCCATTTTCATTTTATTTTCTTAGAGCAAAACTGTTCTGTTTAATACAAAGTTTGAGATTTAAAAAAAACAAACCTAAACTTGCATGAAAACTCTTCATTTTTCACAGTCTATTAATGTTTCTGAAGATACCTCTGATGACTCATGGGTGAACAGACTTTCTCCAGCAAAAAAAAGACTCATGTAAGTTATTTACAGTTCTTTTTACTGGTGCAGGCCAAGTAGCCAGAGAAAGGAGCTGAACACAGCGTAAGAGCAGAATTTGTGTCCTGTGGTTTTCCTAGTGCAGTCAGGCACTAATAAATAACAGTTTTTAAAGTACTAGTATAGTTTACATATCAATATGTGAATAGCTGCACAACTAATTGGATTATTTTCTTTGCACTGTTGAGCGTGCTTTACCTTACCAGTTAAGTGTTAGTTATTACTACAAAAGAACAACATTTGGCAAAGTAAATAGCACTAGCAACTAAGTAATTACAGAGCTGTTTTTTATCACTTGGTTGATTAGCACTCCAGCATAGAAGGAGCCTATGCTAATAACATGCTTCCAGGTGTGGTTTCCAAGTGAAAACACCTGGAGAAGGCATGGCAGTATGGTAAGGAGACAGCGGAAGTGCTCTAAGGTGAAAGCAGCAGCTAGCAAGGGGCCAGCGTGGGGAGCAGAGACAGCCAAGAACACAGCGATCTGGAGGCGGAGAAGGGGACTAAAGAGACAACGAACCTGGGAATAATAAAAGACTATATAGACTGCAACAGTGAAACTGAGGGTGGGAGCATTTTTATCATATTTTTGTTTGTTTTCTCCTAGCTCTTCTTTTAGGAAATCCTAGTTAGTTGATTTCTCTTGTCATTGATCTAGACTGCAGGCTCTTGGGGCAGGAATTGTCTGTGTTACTTGGCCACAAAGTATAGGAAAACTAAGTTACTGTGACAAACTGTTTCTACACTAGAAAATAAAAATGTGCTAAAATGTATTATTTTTATAGTGTTACTCACATTTTTTGTATGATACATAGTCTTTAACTGCAATACTGGACTTGTCTTAAGTGTATTGTCTGCTTCCCTAATTAATGCTAGGCTGTTTTCTCTGATTTTTGGTCTTTAAAAAGAGGATGTAGCCTGGCTGTAGTAGCTGGAATACTCTACGGTTCCAGTTTTGTACCAGTACTTTACATCAAGGACCATGGAAGAAGAAATGAATCTATATACACGGGAGCAAGTCAATTTGGTAAAGGCTAATAGATCACTTCTGCTTTATTTCATCAGTATATTGTGTTCTCCTGCTTTTGTAAAGGCATAGAGTGAAATTCTTGATAGGCCTGAAAATGTACCTTGACAACTTAACCAGTTCTATACTGTGTTGTATGTTGCCATAATCATAGTACTATCACTCACTTTTTCTCAGAGCTGAATTACACTATTAAAAGAACAGTGAGAAACAGCCCAGAGGATGTCATACTGAACTCATAGCTATGTTTCAGAAGGCATTAAATACTAGCACTCTCAAAATACAAAGTTTGTATGCCTGGAACATGAGATGAACAAGGGAATAAGCTGTACTGATTGCCAAATTAGTATGCCAGTGAAGGAAGAGGCACAGGTTGATCATAACTGATAAGCAGAAGAGATATATAACAACGTAAGTAATTAAAACCTGGTAGTTTTTGAAATGCAGACCTTTTAACATAAGCCTAATTGCCAATTTCAAACAACGTTTACCCAGAAGTATCTTCCTTAAGATTTAGTGTATAGTCTATCAGGTAATAGCAGCAGCAGCTTAAGAGCCAGGTGTTGCTGAGACCACATAATGTTGCCATTAAGAAATTGTTTGTTATGTCACATGCAATTCTCTTGAATACTGCAATTTATATATTCCCTAGCTAGACAAAACAGATGTTATCATTAGTATAGCTGCCTTTCCTGTTGAGAATTTACAGCTCCAAGGAGATAGAGATCACCTTGCTACATGCTCCTGCTTTACCATGTTGGAAATACTCTGTGGTGCATACTAAGTCCGTAAAGGATTTTTTATTGTTAATGATTATAGTGATCAAAATTGTGGTACGTTCTTCAAAATAAAAAAAGGACAAAGCTGTGCCATGTTTGGCTTACACACTACATGCAGTTGTCTTGCCCTTAAATGTACAGAAAAGAAACAAGGCTCTATATAGGAATACAAATGTAGATGGTCACGAGAGGATGTAATTATGTAAAATCCCCACTCCTGTTTTCTAGCCTCACCTGAGGATTTTCTTAAGGTTTTAATAAATTAATTCAGTAGTTTGACTAACAGACTTCTGAAAAATAACAACTCACAGAAATAAAAGCCTGTAAGAAATGCTAGGGTCAACACAGCAGTTAATACATGTTAATGTATGTGTGATTGACCAAATCCATCCATAGTCGGACTGGCAGCTGTGTTCATTACAATCACAATTGAACTTGAGTTGTTAGCAGTAACACTTTATGTGTTTTTGTCTATGTGAATGCTACCAGTGAAAGAAATTCAGTTAAAATTTATAACTCATTGTTTTAGACTAATATAATTTTATAATTTCTCTTTCAGATTTAGATTACGTTTTTGCACACTTCAGTGGAATATTTCTTACAAGTACCATCTACTTTTTGATCTACTGTGCAATCAGGAAAAATAAACCTAATGTTTATCCCCAAGCCATATTGCCAGGTATGACTGGTTTTTAAATTAGCAGTTAATTTCAGTTACTAATTCTGACTATTTTGCAGTGATTAGTTGAAGCTATGTGTTGGAATTGTAGTTCACCTTTCAAGTCTTTTCATTTGACTTTTTGTCTGTTTTGAAAGATCACTCCCATTAGGTTAATTAATTAAGGTTAGGGAACAATGATAAATTTTATTCTAATCTGAAACTAGGACAAAATGACATTGCGTACAGGGGATTTTCAAAAACTGACTCTGCCAGAGTGGAGAGCTCATTGCCCAAAAAATTGTGAACTTTAATTAATTTGCTACTTCAATTGAAGTAGTTGATTTTTATCCTGTGAGCTTTGTTTTAGATTATCAGAGCCAGCTTGTTAAAGTAGTTAACATACAAAAATGCATACATACAGTTTCTGTATCATGCTATAAATATAAATGTTGCACAAATAGCTGTCTATACCTTGCTGTGCTTGTTTTTGATTGGGATTTATTTTTCTAGGGTTTGTTTCTGGTGTGCTTTGGGCAATAGCCAATTGCTGCTGGTTCATAGCCAATCACTATCTCAGTGCTGTGGTCAGCTTTCCAATAATTACTGCAGTAAGTATATAAAAAATGAGATCTATGACTAGAATTAAAAGTGAAGGGGTTTTTTCCCTCCCATTTGTGGAATTAAGTTGAAATTATGACATGTCTAGAGCATTTTAATCAAAAGTATACATTGACTCTTCTGCTTGTGTGTGCTAGCCTTTTTTTTTTCAGGAACATACGTGACTGTGACAAGCACCATCTTGGTCAATGCCAAGCATTAAAAAAAAGGAGAAAAATTGAAAGTGTGAGTCTTTAGGTTATGTAAAAGCCAAAGCTCTGTAACCAGACTGTATCAAAATTAAATAGTAAACTGAAGAGATTAAAAGATGAAACATTTTATGCTTTCATCCCGGGAAGTACATTTTGTTCTGGATGTTTTAATTTGTGATTTTTTATGCTCTAGCAGTCATTTTGCTTAATTAAAAGTCAAGTATTTTTTCTTTTTACAGTTCTTGAACAAAGAGAACAGATTATGTATTGCTGAAAATAATGTTCTTAGGCAAATGAGAGAAAAATAGGCTGGCCTATTTTGTCTGGTTTATTCTTGTTTATGATACTGTACCTTTAAAGCACTGTTAATTTTCAGAAGGTGCATAAATTCCATCACTAGGTGAAAATAAACTTTGCCTTTACTCTCTTGCCAATCTACTCCATGGTGATGCAAAGGTGGATAACTTCTGGCAAATGAGAGTTCATAAATAACAAAACCGAAGTTTTGCTGAACAGCTGTATTTTGGAAGCAAACTAATGAAACAACCTTAATAGGGATTAAGCTTTGCCTCAAGATGCAGTAAATCAGAATAAACTCTACAATATGCAATGAAAAAAAGGACTTGGGCTCATTCTAATTAGAAATTGAAGGATTAGTGGAAAGCAGCTTTAGTAACTTAGTTGTTAGTGTACCTAAAGGGCAAGGGTATAAAATCACAAAATGAAAAGTTTAAGGACAGCATTGATGAGAAAATGCCTATCTGGACCACAGGTTCAGAAGTGCTTCTTTACTTCATCCTAGAGAGAATTTCAGACAACTATTCATTGCATCCCTTCAGCACTTTGTTTCATTTTTAAAATGCATTCCTCTCACAGCATATGTTATCTAGAAAGTGAAATAACATCTTAGCTATTATTCAAATAATAGTTGGCAATTTCACTAGGAAACAGCACCCACAAATACATCCAGCATGAGACACTGTTTCCTGGTGGCCTAAATCTGTGTGCTCTCAGCTGTACTGAAGATGGAGAGAGGAAGATCACTGTCCAGACATCTGTCAAGTGTTTCTGAGAGTGGCTCTAATGGGAAGCATTAATGGAACCGGTTTTTGCTTCATATTCAGATAATATTTTTGTCATCAGTCGTGAAAACTCAGATCATTGCTCCCACAAGGGGAAAACTGTATTACGAGGAGTGACTGCAAATTATCATTGTGTATCACTGTTTACTGTTAGCTAGGAAGTCTGTACAACAACCTCACAGATAATCAGTAGTTTTCCTGACCTGTCTATCTGACTGGCTTTGTCCTTTGTCCCAGATGCCTGCTATACAGGAAATAAATTTCTGTTCTAGTCTCTTGATATCATACTGAGCGATAAAATCAAACTTTGTCCAACTCGTTAGTCATGCTAATAAAGGAAATGTTAAGAATATCCATGGTGGCTGCCAATAAACCTGAATAGTCCTCTGAAAGGGTAACGTTGTGGACTATAGTTTGGACTATAGTGAGGCATGTTATTTGGAGCCTGTTAAAAGAACATGTAGCAGCCAGTGCAGACTCCACAGTGTGATTTAGAAAGAAATTGTGCCTTGTCTGGAAAAAAAACCCAACAGTCTCTTGCCTTTTTAGCCCTTCTTGCAGATTTTAATTGTGTCTGTCTTCATAAAGATTTCAGTGGTGTTTATACTTTTGCCATGACTGCTGTAATTATATAGAATGGAAAGGCCTAAATTTGTTTTCCAGACAAACTTCAGCCACTCTGAGAACAATAATGAGAAGGCAGTATATTTTAATGAAATGCTGTAATGTACGAATGAATCTTTTCTTTAGGGTCCTGGCCTTGTTGCTGCAATGTGGGGAGTCCTTGTATTTAAAGAAGTCAAGGTAATCTTATTAGGTCTCTAACCTAGTCTCTCTTGCTTGTCTCTAGCTCTAGGAACAGCATGACTTGGTGTACAGCTGTATCTCTTAGACTTCTCCTCCTTACAAGCATTGCATTATGAACCTGAAAGTCTCATCATGCAATACTAGGTTTTCCAAGAAAGGTGGAAGAACTATGAACAGTTTTTACAGGGATGAAGGTTGCAATTCTATAACTGTATGAGCAGCAGTGAAAATGAAGACTGTAGCAGGACCAGGAAGCAGGATGCTCAGCACAGCCTGAAAACAGTCTTTATTTGAACCAGTTCTTTCAGTGAGGGCCGGGGAATGAGCACTTGTCCTAATAATCACATAGACAAGTAGATTAGTTCACCAAAAGACTAAAAAATGAGACGGAGGTTAGTTGGCCTTGCTAATTACTGTATAACGTAGAGATCCTAAACTGATACGGCAGTGATTGCCTACAACAGGCTAACTTACTCTACCAGATGTTAACATATATGGCAGAAATTACTTTTTCTGGTGGAATTTGAAGCATTGAACACTAGCAGTGTAATCCTTAGGTTCCATCAGCTAATCTGTCCAGGATCCATAGGTACCTAATTTGTCATTAGAGATCATATTTCCCATTATTTTTGGTGACTATATAAAATGCGTTAGGCATGCTTGGATCAGGAACTAGAAGTTCTCTCTCTCTCCTGCTGCAAGTTAATGTTGCACCACACTAGAAGACCATCATGTTCATTATCCAAATCTTTGTGACTCACCAAATTTTTTGTCCTTTTCATACCTTTTAGAATCATCTGTGCATAAATGCTTACTGCTTAAAAATAATCTGAAAATAGACAAAAGCCTTTTAAAAACACTTTTAAAAACTGCTGAATTAATTTTGTGAATATTTTACTAAGTGGATGGCATCATGGATTACTTGAATTAAATGGTTTTGAACAGCAAATATGTTAACCTTTATATGAAATAAAATGGTATAAGATTCAGCATTTCATGTAATGGATTTATTAATTTTGTCATAAAATGAAACCCTAGTTCTTTATTTTTGCTTTATTTTGTGAAGCAGTATCTCTTAACACAACATGATATTTTTCTTTTTCTCTCCCTTTGCCTATCCAGGGACCGAAAAACTACATGTTACTCTCAGTAGCGTTTTGCATCATTTTGGCTGGATCACTCTGCACAGCTTTTTCTAAAGTTTGAAGGGATCTTCTGGACCAGTAGATGGTGCTACTGTTTAATATAAACAGAAATATCGCAATATGTAATAGTTTTCAGAATGTATGTCCAGCATGTACCCTAACTTGCTTCAGGCAAGTGTTAAAAAAAAAAACAAAACACCCTTTGCTAAATGTTCCTATTTGGCGTGAAAGAAAATCTGGAAATGTTTGTTTCTGCATTTCTTGAAATAGTGACAATATCACAGGATTTTGTTAACTAAAGCTAAATGATTTTATAGTTACTGATTTGGTTTTTTTTTCTGGTTCAGGTACTAAACTTCATGTCATCATAAATTGCAGTTCACTGTTGTGGTGGTGGATAAAGGGATTTTAATTCTTGGACTGTAATACTGTATGTATTTGCAAGCTGATTTGTTTTATTATAACGTTCTTACTGACTTGAATATAAAATACGTCTAGGAATATTCTTTATGGAACTGAATCAAATCAAGATGTGAAGCATTTTTTTTATTTAGAAGCATTATTCTTTAAAGTCATTGGTTTACGTAAAAACGTTATCTTCCAATCACTTCAGAATTTTGAAGGAAACACACACAAAAAAAAGAAGTTGCTGTTACTTGTGTTTGCTGCTCAACTGTTTGTTTAGTTGCAAGAACATCCTGTAGAAATTGGGACTGGGATACGAATAGTTGGGGAAGTTTGGGGGGGTTTTATTTAGGTTGCAATTAAACATTACATTTCTGTGTTGCAATATGAGCTAAGTATGTCGTTCAAAGTTTGTTTCCAAATGGCTTTGGGCATTTTCTGAGTACTTACTTTGCTATGTAGCATATTCAAATCTTAAAAATTATGTATGTCAATGTTTATTACATTGAAGCATCATGCTAAAACTACCCAATCGTTGTTCTGCCCAAAGCAAGTCATCTATATGTAAATCTGGCAGTTGTTGTCTAACTTGTTTCTTTAAAAAAATAAATAAAAGAAGTAGCTTTCACAACATTTTTAGGGAAACTGACCAGCTTCTAACTACCTGTCCTGCTAGAATGCCCTAATATCCAAAGGAAATTTCCTATCAGGAGTGTTATGTCCACTGTTCCATGACCATCACTAACATGGAGAACTGGATCTATCTGGAAAAACTGGACATGGCAGTCAGACTACAGTCTTACAAAAACTGAGAAGAACAGCAGTGAGATGATTTTTTTTTTTTTAATCCAATTTGCAAGTTCTATTCAGGGTTAGACATCATAGTATGACAGCTTTTGCCATCACAGCTTGATACTGTTAATGTGTTCAGATTGCAATCATAATTTCTCCTTTTTCCCTTCTACCCTTGTCTACTATTTATCAGATTTGATCTTAGAACTGTTACTTAGCCCACTTTTTCCCCATCCTATATTGTTTATTCCTTCCCAAGTGTCAGAACTTGGTGTCTGACAGGTTTTTTCCCTCCTTAAGGCATTTCTCTAATTTTGCTCTGTATGTTAACCCTGTCCAACAAGTTGGCAGCGTTTTCCAGCCTGATGTCATCTGCAAATTTAATAAACATACTCTCCAGTTATTGTAAATAATTTATGAAAATGCTGCATGATACTGGCCTTTACTTACCTTTTGGAATCTAATATAATACTTCTTTTCAGGGAACAGTTGATTACTCTTCTAAGTACCATTTCCCTCTCTTACAGTGGTTTTATTTAGACTGCATTCTCCCAGGTTTTATGTAGCATTTGACAGTTGTTCAAGTCAAGATACATGATGTGTACTATCCTAATACCTGATCTTAGAGAGAAATCTGGTTAGTTTTCTTTCCAATATCCAGATCAGACACAATTTGTTCTTGACAGATCCTTGACTGTTACTTACCTAGCTATTACTCTGTTGACTCAGACAAGGAAGAGTAATTTGTTCACGTTTTTGGAATAACTTGAATTAAATTGGACATTTATAATTTCCCTGGATCTGTTTCCCTCCTTAAAGATCACAGGAACTTCTGTATTCCTGGAATATACCCCATGCCAGAAAATTGCTGATAAACAAAGAATTTGCAAAACCAAAATACAGTGTTCTCAGGCTCCTCTGTTTTACAGATATGCTTTAATATGTCAGTTCTTTCCCAGTCAGTATTAGTTCTTATTGCTATGTCACTGTTTGCAGTTGTGTTAATGCTGATTGTGATCCGTTTAAATAAGACTGAAGGAACAAGGGTGCCATGCACTTTAGTATAATGTCATTGCTGAATACTGGCAGATTATTTCTTATTTCCATACAGTTACTGACAACAATACTAGTAACTCACTATTTTGCTAAAATATTTATAATGCAATACAATATTTATAAATACAGTGTGATCACAGCACCAGTCTGCTTTGCTGTAGCAATGCAATTGCAGAGGAAGGATCATCTGTTTGGTTTACTACTACCTGTAGGTCACCTTCTACATTTGGTTAAAATCTGCAAGTACAGTCTACACTGTTCACTGAGGTATACTCTTTTCTAATTTATGATAAATAAATTATTAATGCCTCAGTTTGGAAAAATGGATGGAAAATGTTCAACCAGAGCTCTCAGGGAGGACAACCATGTCTGCATGGGCTTGGACAGTGAACTAGCCTGTTCATACTGCTGCTTCCAGGGTAGAACCAGCTTTTAAGGAGCATGTAAGACCCATATCACACAACAGATCTCTCATGCCCCAGAGATCCCCAGAGTACCTTCGAGGGAGAACAGGAGCAAGCAGAAATAAACGTGAGAGAATCAAGAGATAGAGGAATGCACGACATAATTGAAAACTGAGCTAAGCATCAGAAAACCAAGTCGCCTTTTCTAGCAGAGCAAAGCTCTGGGAGGAAAAAGGAAGAGGGGAGCAGATGAAGCTGTGTGAAGATGTTATGAGGTTAGATGTACTGCGGACCAGAAACAGTCTGGTACCTCCTAGTCATCTTCCACAGCTGGGCAAACCACAGTACTCACTGAAGGGTCAATGCAGAGGGGCTGTCATGCAATTGCTGGTCAGCCTGCATCCCCAGCTGTGTGAGGAATAAACAAGAAGGATTGTTCAAGCCCAATCACTGTGGGACCTAGTTTGTCCCTAACCTTGGCCAGCTGTTTCCCATCCTATGCTATAGTGAAGTGCCATAGGCCTTGTCTACTACTGCAGTACCCTGAAGCTCTGTTTTGTTTGATGCTGTGGGTATCCCAGTATCCTGAGTGAATGCATCTTGGGTTTTTCAGATTTTTAGCCCGTAACTCATAGTGACAGGACAAGCTGGCTAGTAGTGCTGTAGTAGAAACGTTATGACAGGTTAGCAAGTAGTAGAAAAATTTGCCGTGGCAGTGCCTGGTTTTACTTGCCTCAGTTCAGATTCTGTTTCGCTTGCTGCATTTGTTATTTGTTGTGGTTTAAGATAAATCTGAAAGTGGACAATGAGACTGAATCTGCTACATCCATCCCTGATTAGAGGGCTGGCTCTGTCTCGTGCTGGTTGTGCAAAAAAATGAAGCTGGCTTATACCTTGGCAGTTGAGATGCATTTAGGTTTAGGTTTTAGGTTTAAACTGTTACTATATGCTTCAGTATGCTTTAACTGAATAGTTTTTTCTAATGTTAACTTAAGCTTCTACTAGCTCTCTTGAGGGCTGCTCTTAAGTTAATGTCTGGTGTGGGCCCAGCATCCATCTACTGGATATGATTACAAGGAACAGTTGAATCTTCCAGGGCAGGAGCACCTTTACGTTTCCCAATTTCTGTATGAGGTCATTGGCTTTCCGAAACAAACCAAAAAACTGAACTCCTGACTGCAGCAATTGCCGTGTAAATGTATGTAGTTTGATGCAGTTCTCCAGTCTATATTGTGAAGCTATCAGATGTGCAAACTTAATTGCTGACTGCTAGGTCGTTAATTAAAATTCCTGTTTGTGAAGGCTCAAGTGTGACCTTAATTAAATGCTTTCTTAACAGTTATCCTATTGGATTTGTCTTGCCAACAGCAAAAAAAACCCAAACAACAAACCACCTCTTGCAGCTCTTTTCTGTGAAAAATCCCTTGTGGTAATTCATCAGGATTTATGGTTTAAATATGTATTTATTCAAAAATATTTTCTTATGATGTTCACTTGGAATATACTGGATAAATATTCCACTAATTTCTGAGATTTTCTTGTTCTTGAAGTTTTGAGTTTAAAGTAACACTGGTACTTCTTTCATGTTAAAATGCTGGATTAACAGATATCTGTTTATAGAGCTATTTATACAAAACAGTCTGGCAGCAACTGAGTTTAATAAGAGAAAATTCTACAGCTAATATAAATTATCATGGCTCTGTTTATATCAGCATGTTTTTGTATCAGTGTGAGAACTAACCCAGAATATTTCTAATTTTTTCTTTTTTTGGGGAGGAGGCGTCTAATTTTTTTTGTATATATAACTGAAGGAAAAAAAAAAGTAGAATCAGGGTGGAAGAATCACATTTCTTGGAGAAAATTATACTTTCAAATATTTGTCTGTGCCTGCTTAATAACTTCTAAGGATATATTTGAGCTTGCTTTAAGAATTTTTCTCTGGTAATACTTACAGGCAAAGTAGCCTGTAATATAGGTAGACTGGGAGTTTCCAAGTAAGATTTTTGTGCGGAGTTGGGACCAGGGAACTCAGTGTCACCTTTTTTAGATTTCCCTTACCTATTTATTCCTTTCCCTATATTTATTGTCAGTCAATTTTCTGAGACTTGCTGCCCTTCTTCCAGATTTTATTCCTTCATATTCTTAGTAAAAATAATTGCTATCTGGAAAAATAATTTAAATACATTAATTCCTATGTCTTCATATGTAAACAGTAAAAACTGGCATTTTTTTATCCCTATAAACTTTTTTATGTTTTATTTATATCATAATTTTCTTTTTCAATCAATATTCAAGGTTGATTAAATGCTAGTTCAACAGTCTGACGTGATCCTTGAGCTTTCTTGTATCTGTCATGAAAATAAAATGACAGCCAAGATAATGCATGCTAACAATTAGTGTCCTTTTTTTTTTTAATTTTGACCTTGCTTTCAAATAGAAGACTGAAGTTTAATGCCCTATTCCATAATTACTGAATGACTAATGGATTCCACTTTCCTTTAGCTATATACAAGGCTGATAGATAGTGACTATGGAGCATTGTGTTTTAGCTGATACAGCTGAAGTGATGGTTCTTACATTTTTCATGCTTATCACAAAACCTT